GGGGACGAGTTGAAAATTTAAAACTGTTTGTCTGTAATTTCAAAATCAGACTTCATAGTCATCGGCCTCTTTCTCGCAAGTTGAAATTAGTTTGCGGTAATAAGGCCACCTCTTATCACCATTTATGGTTCTCTTATTTTCTAGTGGTTATTTCAATCTTCTCTACTTCCCGTCATATTTGCTTGCCTCTACCTACAGCTCTATTAATTTCTTTTGGTTTTGGCTGGCAATTGTGGACGTCGGCTTTAACCCCTTCTATTGAATTTAGGTACTTCAAGTTCATTCGTAACGTCACAGGAATTGACGCGCTTGAGAGAGAATATGGAGACGTTTTTTCCTACGACCGAACTCCCCGAGCTCAGATTTTCAGAAGAGATCAGGAGAAGGTAACCGATCTCCCCAGCATGTATCGTTTGATGAGGTAAGAGGACTTTTTCTACCTTGGTATTTACGTCCTTAATCCTTTGACGCACTGCAGGACCGCAAGGTCCTCTTTCAACATAAGCTCCTGCCTTGGTGTACTAGACTCGTAACAGAATGCGCTATTTCCCTCTACAGCCCTCCCCTGATACACCACCAGAACTCATCACGTCGGCGACATCAGCCCGCTGTAAGGCACGCGCAAGTGCTGTTGGGTAAATGTTTCAAAAAGAAATAAATCGGATGTTAAAGGATTAAACGGGCATTTACTTACATCGTCAATTCCGATTAGTCTTTCTAAGTTTGCCAAATTTAGAGGCACTGGGGTGACTGCTTAAAGTTGGCAGTGTTTAAGATTTCTGCTAGATTAAACTGAATGCCACTAAAGTATCATTTCAATGCAGTCGTAAAGGCGTGTAATTTACATGTGCAATGTTTATAGATACAACGACTTCACTCGCGATCCTCTGTCACAATGTAACTCCACTCCACCCTATACTGCATTTTTTGCGATCGCTGCACGCGGTGATCTCAATGACCCTAATGGCTCCTATCCACTTCCTTTTCTTGGCTATCGTCTCCATGGGAGTACTGATGTTAAGCTTGTCAACTTAGCTATGGCCAAATCGGTAAGTCAGCTTGTCATATCACTATTATTGGGTCATAGGTATAACGCCCAGGAAAGTCTGATTGGCTTAGCCCCAATCCCAGAGCCTCCACATTGCCAACCTAAAGGTGCACAATGTTGAAAGGCGGAAGATTGGCTTTCTCTCTCAGTCTAACAGGTACAATGACGAAAGGGTCCGTAGTTTTGTGTTTGTCGTTATTTTCACAGAGAGCTCGTTAACTAAGGGGTTACAAATTTGTTCGTGCGTAAGGTGAGGCAAAATCCACGTCCTGATCTACAAATAAGAGAAGACGGGAATGGAGGTTTGCAGATACGTCGTGGCGTAGTGGCTGCTGCATTTTAAAGTTGCATAGGACCGAGTGGTTGAGTTTGAACTTCTCGTTAACTCATTCTACCTACTGTCAAAATATTCTCCTAATAACTTAATCGAGTATTCTTCATAGTCCTCGGTGTGCATAAATGCATTGAGCTCTCGGCATTGTCCAAATCTAACTGTTATATCGAATGAAATGGTTCGCATAGTTTTCTCGAAATTGCGCCAAAATATAAACAAAAGTATGTGAATAACACACAGAGTAAGTGAGTACAAAGGTTTGTTTAAATGTTTGGCTGCCCCGGAACGTATTTCTACACTGTCTCCTGTAGAGGTAGAATTTGGAAACTCACTTTAAATGTTTTGTTTATTGGTGGATTAAGTCTAGAGAGCAATCAACTTCGTTTATTCAATTTAGGCTTGGAGGGTGGGGTGGGGTGGGTCTGTTTCACCTAGCTTTGCAGGTGGTTCATAAACAAAGGAAGCTTGCTTTAGCTACTAATTGTGCCCTATCAGTGTCGGTTGGTAGTTGCTTGCGCTAATTATCATCTACAACTCATGATAATCTAATGCAATATTACTTTTCTAATTGTGACTATTGAACCTGCGCTTAATCGAATTTCAAAATGCAAATATCAAATCATCGGAAATGTCCTTTCTTTAATAACAATCTTGAAAACTCGATGGTGTTTTACAGAGTGGTATTGAAACGTAGTCAAGCTGTTAAAAATTTAGGTGGCAGATAGGCTCTTAGCAACGTGAAAACTCCTTCGAAACTTTTGGTCGTGATTTAGCCTGAGTATGCGAAACAGCAAAGTTGTCGAGTAATGGTTGAAGCAGGGGGGTTTTAAATGAAGTCAAGCTGTCCCGACTCACACATTCACATTTCCGAGGCATTGGGTTACTTCCTTTAAGTCCACACACCTTTTCAAAGCTCAGTTTTGGCGATTTGGCACTCCCTGTGTTTCTGATTGCAATTTTGTCCCCAATTATGTTATTACGACCCACGACGAAACAGTGAATCTGCCGATGTCTCATTGTGTTTGAACTAGAATGGATAAATGAGATAGTAAATATATTGAGGCTTATCTCAAAGGGTCGTACTTCTTTAGAGTTTTGGTATTCCGATTGGACGCTACCCATCAGTTATTTAACATGTTGGCCGTCTTACAAAGAGAGCAAGCAGATTACGTGTCTTATGCTCAATTAATAAATGTCTTTTCCTCTACAGTTGAGTATGATAACGGTTGCTGGCCCAACCTACGATCAAGTACCGGTGTTCGAGTGGTCGAATGTGTGGCCGAACAAACCGAGACCCCGCATGCATCCCGACAGATGGGATTTCCCTCCCGTTTTTATCCAAGTGGACAATGGTTGGGGACACTGGTCTCAACCCTTCCTACGAGCAGATGCTGTTCATCCCTAATTCCTCATTCTCAGCAACTCGAGCTTTTCACTTTGAAACTCAATCCTCATTGTTAATAAGATGGACCCGTGTTTAGTATTCAAAATCATATGCCTCTTCAGTAACTAGATGTTGTAATTGAACCCTGTCTATTGATTAAGACCCACTTCTGCACTGGAATTTAAATTTAAACCATTAAAGGGATATTGATTTCGTTCCACTACGCATACTACTTATGGAACATAAGTAACATTATCCAAACGTAAATAAATCTGGCCTTTTAAGCTAAAACTGGAAATCAAAATGTTGACCATAATTATCAAATGTTAGAGCATCTGACGAAGTACGCCATGATCCATTAAGACCCCCTTTGCTCCTTAATTCAGTCGCCTCGGCCAGGCAACTATGTCGCTAAAAATTAATAAATCAGAACATTAAAAAGCCAACTGGTTCTACATAACGAGGACTACTTATACCCTTACAATAATCAATAAAACCAGACTTCACAATAAACAAAACAGAAAGAGTTTATTGGAAAATAAATCGGAGTAAGACTATTAGAAAGATTGACATTTAGATATGGCAAATAAAGAATTGAATTCAGTTCGCATAACAAGGGGAATTATGCCTGAATGCGTACGTGAATACATTCTGCAAAGTGAAGGTGGACAAATTGAACGATGCAATCTAAAGAAAAAGAAGACTTAATGTACGCAAAGGCAACAAATCAGGTATCAAGTTTTTTATCACGGTTCAACACAGGTCTGTATTACTCATCATTTTGTGACTTACTTGGCCTATCAAATTCGGTACCACTGCATTGCCCTTATTAGCTAAAAAAGGTTGGGACCGTTACTTGAAGTAAACAAATTTATCAGATTCTATTTTTCTTATCAAGAATCAACACAGGTCTGTGTAAATCATCACAAAATACTTACCAAGAGGTAGAAATTTAATTATTGATAGATTACGTGTGCGGACACATTGACATAGCGCCAATGAAAGCCGGGTCGTTTATTGCTGCTAAAAGAGCACTTTTAAAATGTGTTCACATCTATATTGAATGACGAAGATGATAACTGAAATTAAGAAATAAGACCCATTAATCCATTTGGGAAAATCAGAGATTGAATTCTTATCATTGAATCAACACAGGTCTGTGGGTCATCACTAAACTTACATCCGCACAATACCGCGAAAAATAAACGACGAAAAGCAACCGTGCATCACGAGCACCCACGCCAAACTTTTTAGGCCTAAACGAAAGACGAAGGTCGCTTAAACGTAAATTTGAATTATTAAAAGAAATCAAGGAGTAATATATTCGTTACAAAGTGTCAATTATTATTAATTTATTATAAATTAATTTCAGTAATTCCATACAAAATAATATTTGCTTATCAAAACAGAATGTTTTATTATAATTATTCTTAAAAAGCAAAGTGAAATAATTATCAACTCATTCAGACTTCTGCAGTTTTAACACAAATAATTAACAAACCATTTAAAAATTAGGAATATTTGGTTATTAGCATGTTACCGAAAATTGTACATATCACTCGAATGAAATGGTATACCAATGTGCTCTATAAAATTTAGGAATAGTCCTGTAAAAGTCATCTCTCTATTAATCCAGCAGCCATCTCCAAAATTTTAAGAACCTAGCACTGAGGTTGAGTGAAGGAAAATCTTATAATCTTTATAAATCAATATCGGTAGTTTAAGGTTTATATCATAGGTAAAACATTTCTCATCCAAAGTCTCCCATACTTAGATCATGATCATCGTCAGGACAACTCTCTGATAGCAATGAGTTTTCTTGGTGTTTTTAATAATGGGGACATCATTTGGAAATTTTAAGGACTGGAGGCCTCTAAATTACCAACTCACCAATGTTATACATTCTCTTCGGCTTCCTCTATATTCTTATTACTTGCTGATTGAACAAAGACGCACACACACACACACCCACGTCGTCCAGTTAGGAACTGTTGCAGAAATCTAGTTGAAATATATATTGGTATTTCACAGTATTTGGTTAGTCTGTAATTTTATATAATTAACCTCAATGCTGAAAATAATAATTTTTATCAACATTTTTATGTATTGTAATTTTGAATTTTATGACAGTAACTTGTAAATTGACTTCGGAAAATCAGATGATTATGAGACTTTTGACTTTGATTAACTTATTTAACTTCAAACGACCCCCCCCCCCTTAAAAAAATTTATTTATAACGTGGAACTTCATTTCATTTCAAAGGCTGTTTCCTTTTTGTTGAGACTTGTCAAGTGGATATAGATTGACATAGTCACATAATGTGTATTTAATCAATAGAATACTCTGAATCGGCAATTTCAGGCAGGACATACTAGACCAATATTGCATTCTAAGATAACCATTAATTTGCAAATTCGTTGCGGATTGCTATACGTATAAACCTCTGAACAAAATTTACCTCTCTATATGGCAAAAGTAACTGTTATTGAAGCTGTTTGAATCGCCTCAAAAATATTGAGGAAACAGAAGATATAACGTGAAAATCGTTTAATGACGTTGAGATGAATGTGATTATAATATATTAGGTGCCGATCATAGTTATTTTGTACGGCTTTGAGTACGCTGACCCTGCAATCACTATTGATTGCTGATTGACTAAGAGACCACAGCTCGATTAACCTCATTTACCCCGACACGGCCATCAGCGAAGCCGCACAGTCTAGGTTACTACAGATTTCATAGTTTAACCCCGTTATCGTTATGCACTCCACAAGGATTTCTCGAGCGTCAACGCTAATTGCCTCTGAAAATTCGAGTCGGAAAAAGAGTTTGTAGTACCCTCCTTTCAGGCTATATATGACTGGCAATTACGACAGTATTGGTAATCCATAGCAAACTTTATCCATCCCAACAAACAGTAGTTACATATATTGCAGTTTTAAGTATGTACCTGTTTGGCCATAGACAGGTCCCTAATTGGGCTGGAACGTACATTATAATCCATATAAAATATTATCATTAATTTTTAATGAATATCATCTAATTATTGCGTAATATTGTTTCTAAAATTATTTGAAATGTACAGGGTCCTTATGAAAACGCTGTTATGTTTAGAATGCCTTTGTAAGCCGCATGTCGATCATTGAGTTAAATCAACTCATCAAACAATTCAGAATTTCATGCCCTCACAGATCAAATCTTGTAAAATTGACAAATTTTAGCCCCTTTTAGAGTTTAGGTCCTATAAAATGAACAAAACTAAATTTATTTTACACTGACATTGGGCACTAATAATAATAGCAATATTATTATTATTATTATTGAAATTAACAAAAGGATAAATTAAATTTACAAATAGAGCATCTGTTCTGAAAAGCTTTCCCATTTAAAAGCTCAATTTAATCGTATAATTACTTACATTTGTCTCTGAAATTTCGCACACACGTGTTCAATAAAATTGTCAACAGAAGATGCAAAAGCATTTAAGTGATACTTTAAGCAAAATTTGCAGGCGTTAATATGACAACACTTCGCTTAGAACCCCGGTTATCGACAATGAGAGGTGTAATTTGGACTGGTTAGTAAGGAAAGGTGGCGGGGAAGCGAAGAATGGGAGATAATGACGAGAAGGAGGTGTGGCCATCATGGTTCCTCCCTCCCCCTCCCCCCTACCTCATGTAAGGAAGGGGGGGGGGAGAGATAAGCGTGCAGTTAATTTGGATAAATTGCTGACTTGGTTATTTCCTGACTTCCACCCCCTCCCACCCGCCTCCCCCCCCCCCTTCCTTCAATGGCATGGCATTCAGGCGATAATTTTCCTAGCAGGTGTCTTTTGTTCTTAGGCACTGAGCGCACTCTCAATGGGAAATCACAGTTTCTTATATATTGCTTCAGTGGGATGAAGCACATTGGATGCAAAACATTGGGGGGGGGGAATCAGAATCACCACTAAAGCAATAGTTTGTTCTCATTGAACAAAACACGACAGAAGCCAATATCTATCCTCATCTAGTTCAGAGACAGAAAGCGCCATTTTTGTACTTGTCTATCAAAAGTTGTAACATCCCCCCACGATGTGGTCTTTAAGGCGTGTTTTCTCTAGGACCTTACGCTACGACCACCAAGCTTCCTTCTCA